TTTGCAGTGTGGGACTAGATTTTCACAGTCGGCTTTTTCGTAAAAAATAAAAGGTACGATAACGTTTTCTTACTCTACCCTGTTTTCAGACAGAAGTTGGTAAAAAAAGCAAGAAAATCAATGAAAAATATGTTCGTTTCAATTACGGTCGAAGAGGCAAACAATTCGCCTAAATTTTTTTTTTCAAATTTAAACGGCCAGTGCAGTTTCATATCTATATAATATTCTTATGTATTTTACCTATAACAATTCAAACGGGTAGAAAGATATTTCCAAGTTAATGTGCAACGATGAAGTGCATTAGAGCGCGCTGCATCGGGGAAATCTGAAAAAATAGCTGGTATTGGAATTTGGTACAAGCGAATAGGTGAGCACAAATAAAAAGTTCCCTTTACAACGTGGCATTGTCGTAACAATGTTCTCAAACCACTCAAAATTGGCACCTATTGATGTAGATTTGCGCAACACAAACTCACTCGCGCGCCTCAAAACGTTAAAACAAAAAGCTTCGTGCTTGTAAGAGAAAAAAAAACGTTCTACTGGTCCGTATAGAAGAGCGCTTTTCTCCGGAGTTTATATACCATTTATCTGTATCAATTGCATGCGTTTGTATATATCTGTGCTTTTGTCATTCTTCTTTATTTCCATAGCAAAAAATCGTAAAAGTAGAATTATTATCTGATATAATCAAGTGCTAGCCACGTCGTTCCGCACTACTGTCTCGCTCGAACTTTTTCCAACCTTCTTCTATTTACTCGCGTTTGTTGTGAGAGCGACAAAACAATAACTGGCCTATCAATGCGCAATAAAACCCGCGCTAATGGTCGAGTTTATGCGTTTTTATCTTCGTTTTTCGAGACATCGCAAATTCTTTTTTCTTGCTTTCTCACTCTCCTTTACCGCATAAGCTTTTTTTTATTGGAAGTATGCACGCACTGTATTTCCTTCCTGGTATTACCATGCAAAGATAGCTGTTCATCAGTATTTCCAATGTTATAATAAGTCGAGCCGCACAAGCATGGCATACAACTTTCATATGTTCGTTTAAAATTAATTTAGAAACTAATGCGAGCTCGATGAAGCATATATTTTTTTAGTTGTTTAATTCACTAACTCACCCTAACTTATTTACCTTATCATTTAAAAGTTGGCTCGTTCGTTGCAAAACTGAAACTGGAAAGCTCTCATTCACTATGCATGCCACACGAATTGGCACTAATTAATTCTCTTCTCATCTCTTTCACTCTCGCTACTACTCGCTAAATTTGGGATGTGTGTACGCCGGAGATATATAGACGACGCCGCAGCGACGACGCTGCGTTGCTCAATTTCAGTCGCAACACAATCATCGGAGGAGCCTCTTCTTACTAGCATCGACGGCTGCTGCTGCTGCTGCTGATGCACAAGCCACACGCGTGACACACACGCGCAGCACAAACTTCTCTACTTTATGCTATATACTCTATACCCAATTGCACACGCACACGTGTTAAACAAAGTTCGCTCAGACCAACAAATACAATAAATGCTGCTTTGAAAACAAAGTCTCGGTGCGCAACGTTTCCGTATCGCAGCTATACAGTGCACGCACACACGCCGGCTTATGTATACGAAATATTAGGATTTGTCCATGGGCAAATTATGCATTTATATTGACTGAATGAGATGGGAAGAGAGAGAAAAAGCAAGAGACGAGAGAGGAAGGCAGTACGCATCGTTGGCTCTATGTCTATGCATATATGTGCGTGCCATTTTGCGATGTGCGAGACAGCCAATGCCAGATTCAAATGGTAATGTTGCATCCGACCGTGAAAACTAAGCGCCGCGCGGTCAATCGAGCTTATACCAATATATGTATATATACCTACTTACGTATGTAAACGAAAGTTATTGCAGCAGCTCCGCCATGTCGCGCCGAGTCGGTGTGCCCCTACATTTACACAGTGTGCAGTGCTGTATTGCCCGAGTATCGATCGCGAATGCAAAATTTCCTGCTTACATCGACGATTTCGATGCAACAGCGGTGGCAGTGGCAGCTGCCTCTGGCTCTATATACCTGCCTGCTGCTGCTGTATACGCGGAACTTTTTTTTCAACTAAAACTCTCTCGCTCTCGGTGATCGAGCAATGCGTCGTCGACGGATTTTTTGTCTTTCAAGGTTACCTTTTATGTGCCATTGCAGGCGATTTTTTCAATGCCTGTCTGCACGCCTGATTTTTTTTTTATCATTTACATTTGAAGTTTCACGGTTTTCGAATTCGAATTTCGCAGTTGAACACGCGTGCCCGCCTGCTGCCGAATTGTTTCATTCAGCTGCCTGGAAATTTTAAGCGTTCGCATTATACGGAGAGAAGCCCGAAGAATTAATTCGTATATCGCAAGGTGCGTACAGTCTGCGATGTAGAGTGGAAAATGGCATTTATAAATCATGCGAATGTGTTATCAAGTATAAGCTTGCGCTGAAACGAGGGGCTTGATTAATGCGCGTGCGAAGCTCGTCGATATGAAGTCTTGCCGATCGACACGAGTGGCTAGAAAAGTAACCCCCATTTACTGAATCTCGAACAATTCAACTAAAAGCGCTGTAAATTACGTGAAAAAATCTTGAATAAAAGCGCTAAAGTGTGTTATAGTGTTTGCACGTGTAAGGCTCGACGACGTGGTGGATATATATTTCGCGCGCTTTTATTCTATTTCTATCTTATAGCGGGAAAATCAAAAATAAACGCATGTATTTCCAAATTAGATTGATTAGATTGACAAAACTATCCAATTATTACGAAAAATTTCCAAGTGTTTCGGGTCACGATAGAGATACAATGCAGAAAATGACGGTCATAAGTTTATGCTTAAAAATATTTTTACGCTGCGTATAATGCAATCAAGTACAAAAACTATTGATATAAATTGTGTATATCGTCGCTTGTAAAGTTCATAAGTATACATACCTATGTGCGTGCAAAACAGGTTCGGTCGCGTACCTATCCGCGCGATTGAGTTATTAAAAGTAAAATTTAATTAAGTTGTACGCGTTATATATAAACGTCGTGTACAGTAGCAGATCAGCTTTTCCAAATCAATTACTTTTGGTATATAATAATAACGATGTTATATTACGTATTGACGAGTCTTGTTACGCACGGACATGCACGAACGTAGGCACAAGCGCATGCCCGTATATTATATGCATAAAGAATCGATAAAATACTCGAGCTCATTGATTTTACTAATAATAATTTACAATTCGATTAAATACAAAGTCCAAACTCGTTGTCGCGATAGATATTAATATTCATGAGTCGTGAGAGAGTAAAAGCAGAGTAGAGAGAGAACCAGTGGTCGTTAGCAGATGTGAGATGCACGCATGCTTTTTCCCGAAATAATATTATTCGATGCAGAAATTTCGGATATGCGCATATTTAAGATATTGAGATAGATACACAGACACGGCATATATACAGGCGCGCTCGCTCGTTCGGTTCGCTCGCAAGCAGAAATATACGATAAAAAAATGTACGCGTTTGTGTAACCCCGATGCGAATATCGCCGCCTCGCATACACACATACACACATGCACGCACAGCACATATGTATCGGTCCACTTTTATTTTTATAATTATAATATAGGAAAAGAAAAAAAATTATTTATCCAGCGCGAGCGAAGCAAGCTGCACAAATATAAATGCGCGCGCGGGATGCATGCATGCATGTGTAGTGCCAGCCAGCCAGTCAGCCAGCATGGAGGCAGTAACGAATCTATTATATGGCCTGACAGCTGTCTTCGAAATGAGTCGAAAAATCTTTCGAGTTTTGTGCACAAACATATATTTTGCGTGCGAGTTTACATCGCGTACCCAAGTCCAGCGGTAAAATGTTGCCGTCAGTAACGAGCAGTGTGTGAATGTGTGCGCTGCGCCGTGTATAGGAGATATTGAAAGCATTTCAAATAGCGTTCGTATCGAGATCGATCTGCATCGATTTGATTTTAACCTCGCGAAACACTTGTAATATTGAAAAAAAAATTATCAATTCCGGTAGCACATGCTGGGTCGCGTACATTCACACGGTCACACGCACACTTGCAGCAGTGGGTCGTACGTTGTTGTATTATAATATGTACCCACACACATCGCACAAAAAATGCCACACGTACAATTTGGCATACTTTTAAAATTCTCGCTACCGCACGGAATAATCCATGCGCGCCTGCCGAGCAACAACAATAACAACGCGACGCTGACGACGACGATGACGGCCAAGATGCAGACGAAATTTCGCCGCCTCGATTCTCTCTCGCGCTGCCTGGAAAAATATAAAGCGTTGCTATAAGACAGAATTTCGCACGTTCTAGATAACCGTCCTGACACATACGCGCGCTCGGTGGCACATACACATGCACACGCTAGTCGAGCAGCGGGGATTTATCAGTACTGCCAATCAAGCATCGGTGCATGTGTGTATGTGTATACGTATTCGTATATATGCGTGTAAGTTATTTGTCATTATCAAAGCTCGAGCAGAGAGAAAGCCAGAGTCATTCATATTACAAACGCACACAGACACACGCATCATACACAAACGTGCATTGCACACACAAGCGTAATGAAACAGTTATAATATGTATTTATAATATCGCAGCTTATCATCTTTAAAAATATGCTCGTGCTCTGATTGATGATCGAATGAGCGAGCGAGAGAAACAATTTGCATTATCTCGAGAACGTAACGTTTTCCTCGGCGCTCGGGTGCTCTCTGCTCTCACTTTGCAAGAGAGCCAATATTTTGCAGCTTTACTATATAAACTCGAGCCAGAGGGGGCAACTTCGATGAATGGGAGAGAAAAATTCAACAAGCGTGGCAAGCGTGTCGGACGTTGTACTTCGCTACGCTCTCATATACTGACGAAGTGCCAATAAACGCGACAGAAAAAGGCGAAATATTATACATTAGTACAAGTGTAAGTAAGTAAGTAAGTAAGTAAGTACAAGTAGAGGACTCACCATAGTCGGGACGAAGGACAGCTTGGATGGCTTGTTCGTTTTTCTTGCTCCTGATAACCGGCTCGCCAAGTATCGTGAAGTTTCTCGGTCCCACGCGGTTCACAAACACAAGATACACTTTACCGCGCTTGATGTTGGCACGCACCATACCGTCGTCGCCGTTGCTGCTGCCGCTTCCAACAGCGGCCATCGCGTCGAGTATGTTAAGAGTACCACTATTACTAGTGCGCAAATTATGCGCCACCCCCTGGCCCATGGACGTCGTCAACGTCGTTGGCAAGGCCGTCGTCGCACTGTTTACCGATTGACACAGACCGGACTTGCCGCCGCCACCTCCGCTTTTGTCTCGAAAGTGTAGCCTCACGCTGTCGTTCGTCTGGAGCGGCATGAAGCCGGCCTGGCTCTTGTACACCCGCTTGACTTCGAAAGTCACGGCGTAATTGGAGCCGGGCTTACGAAGCGACGACATGCTGCGGGCCTTGCCCTCGAAAACCGTGGGGGCCAGGTAGGCTCGATTACCCACGTCCATGTCAGGGCACCAGTTGCGCCCTCGGCACGTGCCGCGCAGGCGACATCGGCGTCGCTGCTCCCTCGCCGATTCCGAGCGAGTTCGGTTGTTGTTGCGAGCTTTTGGTTGCTGTGATGGCTGCTGCTGCTGCTGCTGCTGCTGCGGCGACGACTTTCCAGCCGAGACCTGCTGCATCGAGCGTCTGTACCGCTCCATATCCAGATTCATTTGCTGCTGTTGCTGCTTAGCTGCACGATCCAGCGGCGGTTTGGCGACGCTTCTGCGACTTCTCGACCAATCGCTGCCGACAAGGTCACGCAGTCCGAAAATCATCGAGCGTCCGTAATAATCGAGGTTGGACTTGCCGTCGTCGATGGTCGTCAATGTCAAGGGTTTACTGCTGCTGCTGCTGCTGCTGGTCTTTTGAGTTGGTGAAGTAGCCTGGATCGAATCAGGCTCGATGGTAGCCGCAGCCAGTAGTGCGGCCGTTAGCAGCAGCAACAAAGACGACGACCACATGTCGTCTCGTGCGGCCAGCCGCCTAACCGCCCTACCTCGCACTGTGCCGATCCGCCCTGAGGATCGGCGATCGAATTTTTTTAAATTCACTTTTTTTCACACTAAAACCGCACTAAAATTATTATTTGAACACTGTTAAACTTTTTCACTTGTCCACACTGTGCGTACCACTCGTCACATGTATCTCGATCGTTTGAGCTTTAAAATTTTTATTCGCGAGTCGCTACTTTTGACGTGTTTATGCAATGTAATGTTGTGTAATGCGCATGTCTCTCTGTGTCCTAAGAATTATCGCGACGCAGCCGAGAGCGAATCGGCAGGACTCTGCGGGCTCGAGCAGCAGCCGGTCTCCGCCGCATCTTGCCTATCCGCAGCACGCGGAGGCTTCACCGAGCCTCTCGCCCAAGCCTACAGAGAAGAATAGCTGCCAAAAGCTGCTGCGTGTGGCTTGCTCAATGGTCCGGTATTACGGCTTTAGCCCATCTGTCGCGTAGAAGCCGGAGACGCAAACTTGCGACGAGAAGGAGAGCAGCAGGAGTAGTGGCACGGGCCAGCCTCGAGGCCATTAATTACCGGCACGAATACGACTCCGCTGCTGATTGCTCGCAAGTGGTATCGGCTCAAATATCTGCTGCTGATGCTGTCGCTGTTGCAGCCAGGTGACTACTTTGTCGTCGTCGTCGTCGTCGCTCTTGACACTGGCTCGAAGAAGCTCGATGATGCAGCGAGGATGGATGAACAGCTCGGGAAAACTGATCGTCGTTGTTCTCGTCGTTGTCGTGTCGGTCCTAGCCTTGCAGTGAGCAGCAACGAGCGCTCGCTCTGCTAGCATCATGTGTCTTCTTCGTTTTGCTTCCCTCTAAAAAGTTAGAGCCTTCTCGCATAGAGCGGCCAACTCGGTTCCTGAGAGTGTTGCGAGTGTCCGCGTGTGTGTCAATGTACAAGTGTGTATGTGCGCGCGTGCGTGTGTGTGCGTGAGGTAATGTATGTGTGAGTGAGAGAAAGAGAAAGACACTGTTGTCCCCCTTTTTAAGAATGCACGCGACACAAGCAGCCGCAGCCGACCGATAACAATACTCTTTCTCGCGCGCGCACTCTCGGACTCTACGCGCTTCCTCCGCAGATTCGCTTCTCACGCAGCAGCGGCGGTGGCGGCGGTCCCTCTTTCAAGGCCTATATTATGCTCCTTGCAATAAGGCCCACCTATGACGCACATGTGCGTGTGTAAGTGAGTACGTTTGTCTGTATGGAAAGAGAGCGAGAGAGAAAAGAGAGAAAGAAGAGTACGTGCATGTACGCGTGTGTGGGATTGCAGCGACATACACACACACTCACACATATAAACACTACCACCACTTGAAATACTGTTGTTGTCGTCGTTGCTTCTGCTCCTCTTGTCGGTGCACTTTAATAATCAACATTGCTCACTCTGATGTATATCTCGCGAACACTTAGCACACCGAAAGTCGCGCACAGCCTCGGCTGATCGTGTATTTCTCGCATGAGCCTTGCTCGCTTGATGTCACTCTTACTCTACTGCTACTACTACTACTACTACTACTATTACTGCACGTGCCCCGTCTGCTGACACTGTTACTGCAGACCACCATCACACTCCACCGTAAAGCATAACATACTTGTAACAACTGCTGTTGCTGCCGCTATTTAAATGGCTCGTGCACTCGCTCACTTTTCCACCTTACACTTTGATAATACGGAATATATACATAACACTTATTATTACAAAAGCACACGGCAGCACACTTACACAGAGACAGACTAGCGCACGTGTCTCAGGGCAGCACGATAGCTTTTCGCACAGCTTACGAGCCGCGTACGTATATTTACGTACAGATATACGTAATCCGTTTGATCTTCGTTCGTTGCACACTTTTTGTTATTGCTTTTTCTTTGCTGCTGCACACTTCACACTTTTTCTCTCTCTCGGCTTCTTCTTTCGGGCCTGTGTATATTTTTATACTCGAGACTCGCACACTTGTATAAATAGAGAAAAGAGACAATCGTTACGATATATACAGCATTTCAGTCAGAGCACTGGTCTCACTATTTTTCGGCAATTTTCCTCGACTTAACGAATTCGAATTTCAAGCATCATTTCCAACTATTTCGTACATGTTCCTGGCTTTCTCGGCAATATGTGCTTTTTTTAATTCCGTTCGTGTTCTCGTTCGGTCTGAAAAAAGCTCTCCAAGTTGCTCGAAGATCGGTCGCTGCTACTGCTACTGCTGCTGATTTCTACTCTTTCTCTCTCGTCTTTGCATGAACGTCTCTCGAAAAGAAACGAGCAAAAAAAACGGAGCTCTCCGTAAGGGAGTAAGATTTATATATAGAGCGTAAAACACGTATGTATTCGCGTACACTGGGTATGTGCACGTTATATCTATATCTATAAACACACGACGACGAGTGTGGATCTCTCGCGTGACATATATATGTATACACACGCACGGTATATAAGAGCGCGCGCGGCGGTTCAAATTAGACTGAGGCGCGAGTCTCGCGAATGGCTGAGAGCCGTGTCGTCGTGCGCCGGCCGCGCCGGCAGCGCCTCCGTCCTCGGCTGGGCGGACGCCGCGCAAAACTTATTCTGCGCACACGCAACCCGTGTGTATGGAGGCTACTACTATACTCGGCGGCGGCAGCTACATGCACATATACTGACACTCCGCGCTGCAGCCTATATAGATATACTGCCGCTGCTGCAGTACGCGCGCATGCACTCCGTATTATATAGCTCGCATGCATGCTTTATAGATGCTACTACCTCGCTGCTGTTGCCGCCGCTGCTGCGCGCGAGACTCCAGATACGCTCGCGAGCCTGTGTGCACCTATATAGCGGCTTTATACCAATATTTTGTATATCTATATGATGTACAGACGCCAGCACGATGTGTGCGCGCGAATATAGCTGCACCTAAAAACGTGTGTGTGCGTGCATGAGAGAGAGAGAGTGCACACTGCACGAAATAGTGTTGGTGCTCTCTTTCGGAAGTGCGATGGACTTGTCTTGTGGTTTCTCCATCTTTCTCTCATTCCCTCTTTCCCTTTTTCTGTATTTCTTGAGAATATACATATACGCACACCAACTGTATGTATATGTGTATATGTGTGCTTCACTGATGTTGCAGCGTTTATTCCGGAGTTATATGACGCTGCTGCTGCTATTAGCTAGCGCCCTTCCTTCGCCTCCTCCTTTTCCTTCCGCTTGATGGTGGACGTCTTTGCCCGTATATATTATGTATACATCGTAGATGGTGATTCGATTGAGCTACGGTTGTATGCACGCCACGATTGTTATATATGCACATGGGCAAAACACACCTAGAGCGTTTCGGCGCTGATGTAGATTGATAGGGACACCTCGCGAATATGTGTGTGTGTGTATAAGTGTACGCTGCAACGGACTCGAGACCATGTATTATTCGTTGAGCGCGATTATTTTTAGGCCAAATTTTGACGGCACCCGCGCAGCAATCCGGCATGCTCGCAGCCTATTATTCTGTATTTACGCTTAATTGGGTTACGTGGTGATAAACTAGGATAAATTTTAGATGAAGTCTCTGTGTGTCATTTGACATGTTTTATACGTTTCGATTTGAATAATTCGCAATATTTTTGCATTCTTTGAATGCTTAGAGCGATGTATATTTCGTTGATGATTCGGATGTATCATCAAAGTTTGAGAGTGAATCATGCGAAAAAAATTCGAGCAAAGATGTATATAAACCGCATGCACGCACATACACGTACCCGTGTATGAATATTTTTTCGCCGATTCTAAAAAAATCTCTTCGTTAAAAGAAAATTTATGCAGCGAAAACAAGTTAATTTTCAGCCGTATCGCTGGCCCACGGTGGTGCTCCATTTTGACACAAAATGGAAATACATTTTGCGTTCACATATAAATACAAGGCAGACTAGCTGAGATCTGTCGCACGCGCGAGGTAGGCAAAGAATCGCTCCATAATATGACTATATATTTATATAATAAATTGTAAAATGAAATTTTAACAACGGGCAACCTCTTTGGATGCGTGCTGGGCTAGGCCAAGATTCTCTCCCACGTAACACGTCTGTTGATATTTCAAAGGTGTACACACAATATAATAATAGTGAGGTGATTCGGCTGTGCAGCCGCCGCTACTGCTGCTGCTACTGCTGTTATTATACGCAGAATCTCACGTTTGCACGGTGTGCGCACAGTACATATGTTTATACATAGTACACCTCGCTATGTAGATGCAAAATAATATCCGCTGCTGCCGTAGATTTGAAAACTGCGCGTGGTTAAAAGAGACAGTTAGGGACCATTAGAGGGGTATTTATGGATTGCCCGGTGTGTTCGTCGTACTTTCTGCGCGTGTACACACGTGCATGTGTAAGAGTGTATTATAACGCAAGAGAGAGAAAGAGAGAGACGAGTCTGCACACGTGTGTGTTTTCGCGTCTGCTGCTGCTGCAGCTATTGCAGTATAGTGCAGCTCTGCAAGTGTGAGAAAAGTGAGAGGCGAGGCTATATGGGAAATGGAGCGAATGGAGGAGGTGGAGGAGGAGGGTCAGCCCCAGCCTAGGAGTGCGCGCTTATACATAGGTGGGCACACACGCGGGCACATTGAACATTTCATTTGATGCGTGAATTTTGCCGTTGACCCTTTATAAATGTGTAGAACTCAGTACTCGCTGCGTATACAGTACTACCACCCCCACTACCAATACTACTAACACTACTACTAATACTACTACTACATTTACCGGTGTTTGTTTTGCGCACAAGTGACACCAGCACCAACAGCAGCTTGGCAATTTGTGGCTTTTCCCTGTTTTCAGTTATTATCGAGTGTACGCACCGATGACTTTTTTAGTGTTGATTTAATGCACACACGAACACTCTGTTGACTATAGTAAATTCATACTATGTACTCACACCCGCGCATGCATACGTTTTAAATAGTAAAGAGCTAATTAAAATGAAAATGTTTTGCAAAAATGCCATCCTTTTTCATGTGTTTACCCCTATCGAGCCGCTCGTATCAAGATTTGCCGCTTATGGAATTTCGTTGACAACAGTGTATACTGGAATAAAAAAGAAGTTGAAAAGTGCGAGCAGCGAAATAAGAAATAAAATTTGGCATGCAGGACAATGAGATGTAGAAATTCATACATATATTTATGTGCATATGGCTAGATTATACATATAAGCCATATATGTGTTACAAGTTACGTGTGCAGCAGCAGGTTATTCCAATGTTGTCTAAGATACATTTTGCTGAAGCAAAAATTTACCTGCCCTCTCTCTCGGCGCTCACTCTGCTCCATGCATTTAGGCTTTTTTATGCTTACTACGGCAAAGACGCGCTCGCTCCTTCTCTCTCTCTCGCTCTCTCTCTTTCTTGCTCGCGCGCACCCGTGCGTGCCTCTCTCTATCCTATTTATGACTGCTGGCACGCGACTTACATTATGTATATGTTAGTTTAGTCTCCTTCGTATTTACTAAATAAATTCCTATCCTCGCGCGCCGCGCCGTGCACACTAAAACTCTATTTAATCCTGCCACCATCACCACGATTGCCTGACGTCTCTGCTCTGCCTCTCACTATACAGTTCTTAGTGCTTGTATGCGCAATCCCTGGCTCTATCATCATAAATATTATTATATTTTTTTGTAACTTGTTTGAATTGTGCACCCTACTTAGGCCTATTAAATTTTATGGGATAAGTTCTTCAAACATTTATTAAAAATGTATAACTAATCGAAAATTCAATTCCCAAAAAATCATAAAATAGAGTTCAACAGACACGCACAAAAAATCGGCACACCAACAGATCAAAGAAAAAGGAAAACTGTTTATATTCTAATTAGCGTACACCATGGCAGAATTACTCGAGGCTAGTTTTCTACTGGAAATACGATTTTTTCAGTAGCGCTAAATCTTTGCAAAAGAATTTTCACGCTCGTTTGCTGTTTTGCAAAGGCAAAAATGTATTTTACTCAACTGTTTTGGGTGCGCGTAGTACACATACGCACGACTATCTAAGAACTACAAAGTCCAAAAAATATAATTTTGAAAAGGTGGGCGGCAAAAGGTTTGCTGCTGTGTATTATACGTTTATACAGCAGGCTTATATGGTACTCGACGTTGCTCTGTGTATCCTATTCACTTAGCTCTGGTAAAAGACCTATACATATACAGGCTCTTCCGTACTATTTTTTTGAAATGAGAAGTGTGCATAAAGCCTTTTTAAAGCAAAAAGAACAAAATCTTTATACTAAAACGACCTTTCCACGTCATCTTTCCGGAAAATTTAAGCCTTTCTTTTTCTCAAAACGCGACGAATTAAACGAAGGACCCATTTGACCGGAAGTTGAAAAATAAAGGCGAGGGTAAAATATCTCAGCAATTGTGTTCTTTATTATGAGCTCAAAGGTATCTTAAAACCCGCTGTCAATTTATAGTAAAAGAGCTTTAATTTAATAATTGCATAATTATATGTTCATCGGTAAATTTTCCAAAAAAGTACTAGTTAATCCTACGAAAAATTGATAGGACAACATTTTTAACAAAATTAAAAACAAAGCATCTAATTTTTAGATTTCAATTTTTAAGGTATGCAACGATTCTCCATATTTTTGGGTTCCAATTAAAATTTGATTGAAATTGCTCGAAAAAGTCCTTTCGAAATGAGTGTATCTCAGTGAAAAATCAAAATGTTGGCTTTTTAAAAATTCGATGAAAGGGGGAAAGAAAAGCCTTTTCAAAAATTGAATAAAATATTTTTCAATTTTAAGGTAGCTTTGAGCTACCTAAATAAGGAA